TTGCATCTATAAACTTGTACATGTCAAGTGTCCTTAAATGCTTAGTGAATGATTAAGTAAACATGTAATGTTTCATTGTTTCTGTTTAATACACTGTCCAGGCAAACACATTCTTAGGGAATCTTATTAGTATCTCTATGCAGCAGAATGGGATGAATTTGTTTATATATTTATATAAGTAACTATTCTTAGAAGCGAACATACCATAAAGCTGACTGGGGGACTAATCAGTTCCTCTTCCCACAAATTGCCACACCGTTTTCGATAAAATTTTCTGCATTTCTGTGTTGAATATTTAACTTGTCTGTGAGGTTATTTGGGACTCAATTCAGTTAAGCTTTTATGAAATTTGATGACTTATTTCCCAGCAAACACTGCCTTACTAAGAGGTGTGTGTGGGGAGGGGTTGTTTGTGTGTGGTTTTGGTTTTTTGTGGGATTGGGTTGGTTTGAGGTTTGTTTTGTGTGGTTCTTTTGGGTAAGAAATACTATATTCCAGGATGGATTTAAAATGCTAGTTGTCTGGAGAAAGGAAGGTATAACACTTCTTTTCCTACTGCTTGTTAATATCCAGACATAGTGATAGGTCCTGAATTTTCTGCATCGGATACTGCTTTAATAATGCAATTTGAAAAGTCATCTTACAGTCCCTGGCTAGTGTGGAGGTAGGAGTTATTACTCTTATCTGGCAGGACAGGCACACTGTGAAGTGATGTGCTGCATTAACTAGTAGTCTGCGAGGCTATAGCCTTACTAGCCAAGATCCCATTGTTCTTTTAACATCGGTATTGTGTCAGTAATTCAAGAAACAACATCTTCTAGTTACTAACACAGAATCATTCCGGTTGGAAAAGACCCTTGGGATCATAGAGTCCAACGATCATCCCAACTCTACAGAGTTCTACACCATATCACCCAACAGCTCATCTGAACGACCCTTAAACACATCCAGGGATGGTGACTCCACCACCTCCCTGGGCAGCCTATTCCACTGTCTGACCACTCTTTCTGTGAACAATTTTTTCCTAATGTCCAGTCTGAACCTCCCCTGTTGCAGTTTAAAGCCATTCCCTCTTGTTCTGTCACTAATCACCTGTGAGAAGAGACCAGCACCAACCTCTCTACAGTGTCCTTTCAGGTAGTTGTAGAGAGTGATGCGGTCTCCCCTCAGCCTTCTCCTCCTCAAACTGAACAGTCCCAGCTCCTTCAATCGCTCCTCACAGGATTTGTTCTCCAGGCCCTTTACCAGCTTTGTTGCCCTCCTCTGCACTTGCTCCAGCACCTCTATCTTTCATATTGAGGTGCCCAAAACTGAACACAATACTCCAGGTGTGGCCTCACCAGTGCAGAGCGCAGCGGGACTGTCACCTCCCTGCTTCTGCTGGTCACACTATTTCTGATACCAGGCAGGATTCCGTTGTCTTTCTTGGCCATCCAGGCACACTGCTGGCTCATGTTCAGGTGCTTGTCAATGAGAACCCCCAGATCCTTCTCTTCCAGACAGCTCCAGCCACACCTCCACAGGCCTGTAGCCATGCAGGGGGTTGTTGTGATAAAAGTGCAGGACCTGGCACTTGGCCTTGTTGAAGCTCATTTCTCTCCTTCATATTCTCCCCTGTTGTGGAATGGAGTTCTTCAGATTGTTTTCAAACTTTGTTACTCCAAGGCTTTGCAGTAATGCTGGATATAGGTATACTTGTAGATATACACAGTAGTTCTTGTAAATAGCATGTGAACTTGATTTTACTAGAGTTTTTGTGTTTCTCTACCTTGCTCCCAGAAGCAGGCAGTGTTGTAGATGCATTGACTTGATCTAAATTTATATGGCTGCTAATATTCTGGGAATGTATTTTTTGCTTGTGAAATAAACAAGTGCTCCTTCCCTACCACATTGCCAAACACTACATCCTGCCTCATTTGAAGGGTTACTACAAGCACACTATCTCTGTTACTGTGCTTTCACACTTAAGTGTCACATCACTAGTCATAAAACATTCCTGAAAAGAACATGGATTGTAAAAACAAAGCAAAAAAAATCCACAACTTTTGGGCAGAGAATAGAATGCAACTTCATTGTGAATTGATACTGTAAAGTAGACAACTTTGCAGTCACCAGTTTGTTCTGCTGACCATTTAGTTGATACTCATCAAAGCTGATTTCTTTGATTCCTATGCAGGAATAGCTAGTTTGTGCATGGTAGTGGGTGGGTGCATTGTTAGAGAAGGCAGCTTCTCACTCCAAGCCTATCCCAGGTATGTCTTGCTCTCTGAACATGTTAATAATAACAACTATTCCTGGACAGATTACTTTTCTAATGTTGGGTTTTATTTTTCCTCTTTCTTATGATGATAGGGAGGATTCAGTTATGGATCAAAGATAAAACCTATTCTACAGTCATAACTGATTAATAGATCACGAAGAGTAGACAAGAGGACATTTAGTAGAGTGTTAATACTGGTTACCTAGTTATGGTAGATCATTTAGGCTGTTCAGATTTAGATCTTCACTGAGTTGGCTTTAAACCACAGTACCTCAAAATATTTTTCTGTCAGCCTGTACACAGCATGTCCTGAGAGAAGGGAAACAGTATTTCTTTGCTTTCACCTGTGTGTTTCCTACATACCTCCAGTATAGCAGAAGCAAGGTTATCTATTTCTTTACGTTGCATTAGATACCAGATTTCTTCATACTGTAAGCTCAAAGTAGTGCTCAAAAGCAGTTAACAGCTCCAGAAATCTTACACACTCTCCACCCCTTTTCAAATGTGTTATTGTAAAGTGGTTATTTGTCTTTGTCGATTTATTTGTGTTTTGAATCTTAAGAATAGCTGGTTCAAATGTCTTAATTCTAAGTGAAAATACAAACTTATTGTATGAAAAGCCCCCAAATCTGTTTTGTCATAGGGCTGGAAGATCATTTCTGTCACCTTTGAAGAGTTGTCAGAAGTGTAGGAATGTACAATGTGGCCAGACCGAAAAGATTACTTAAACTTGATTGTAGCTTGCAACTCAATTTTGAAGCTTTAGCCTAAAGCTCCAGACATATGAGGCGGTGTTGGAAGTCACCTGTATAATAACAGTTGCTGGAGATTTCCATTTTAAGACTTGTGTTCATTTAATACTTGCAGAACAAAATCTTCAGTATAGTTTTATCTGTTTTGTGTTGAACTGGTTTGAAAACAGTCACCTGGGAGAGGGTTGGTCCTATAGCTGTTGACAAGAGAGCTGGGTCAGCTTCAATTACATTGAAACAAACAGTACTCCTGTTTACATGTCCCAGCTTTGGGTGCAGTAGTTATCACCTGTGTGGAGAGTTGGTTGTGTTGGGTTTTTTGTGTTGTGTTTTTTTTTTTTTTACACAGATCTTAAATTCACAAAGAACTGAATAATTTCTTGAGTGTCTACTTATGTCCATAACTGCCTTATGCCCTTTAAGGTTATTTTGGAAAAGCAGAGGGGATGAAGGAAGAAATGAGTATTCTACTTTTGTCTATCCTGAGATCATTGGAATGTTATAAAACTCTATTAGTGAGAAGCTGGATAATTCCTTCCCACTTCTTTATTTTTTCTGTTCCTTCCTGCTCCCTACTTGTTGTATTGATACTGTCCATAAGCTCATGAAAACAGATCTGTTTGAAAAGATTTCCTGAAACAGTGATGTTGAAAATAGCACCTATTCTGGAAAAAATTCAGGTAATTTTTTGTTTCAAAAGTAATTCCACAACAGGTGACAGGTTTTTTTTTGGTCATGCACATTTTTCTACCACAGCAACATGAAGTAAACTGTAGCTAATCAAATTCTAGTTTTGATGTCCCAGAGCAATGCATTAGACTTTTAGCTAAATCAAATGCCTGCTTCAGGGATGCTGTAGGGGTGATTAAGAGCGTTTAACTGAGCAAAGCAGCAGTGGTCACTATTCCCTGTTTTTCTTCTCTCCTAGCATACAGCTTGGTGGGTTTTGGTGTGAATTTCTTAGCTTAATTGTAAGTAGGTGAAATCATCAGGTATAAAGATAGTCACGAGTATCTTAAAGCTGTGCAGAGTGGGGCCCAAAATAATGTTTAATAACTGCATGCTATAGAAATGATTTTAAAAGTTTACTTCTCTTTGTAGTCTGGTGTTGTGCAGGATCTGATTGCATCTGAACTCTAATGGGGCCTGATGTACAAAGTTGTTTGAGGGAGTGCTACACAGTGCATTTTAAACTAACCAGTTAAAAGACTTTAAGTAAATAATCTTGTTTTGATCTTAAGGTGCGGGACTGCAGAATGAGGACCCTGGAATAAAAATGGTTTTGAATGCTTTCAGTTAAGAAGATTTCCTTTCATAAACTTGAAGGCCCAGTACATATTTTTGGTGTTACTTCCCTGAAAGTGCAGTTTGAGGGAAATAAATGGAGTTGTATGTGTTGCTTTCTAGAAAAGACCGAGAGTGAATTGTGAAATTATGTAGCTGAATGTACAGAACACAATATTAATTTTAAAATTATTTAAATTAATAATTTTAAATTAATAATATGTTCTAATATATAATAGAATTTATATATTATTAGATATCGATTATTAAAATATATAGATTAGATATGTTAGATAATATGTAATACATATAATTTGTATATATTATATACTATATAATGTAATCTAATAATTTAAAAGATATCTATAGTTACTGTGTACATCATGTAAGTGGCAAAACAGATCGTACCTGTTTTTTATTAGAAAAATCACTGCATTTTGATGTGTAGTTAGAAGCTCCAAAGTCTGTAAAAATGTCTGTTTCTAATTTTAAGACTTCTGGTGATTCTCCTTGGATGAAATCATGGCTGCAGGTAACTTGATGGGAGTTTGTTTTTATAGATACTCAAGACCTAGGTTTTTATTTACCTGAAATACATGGCTTTCCTCTTCTGGTCTGTATGATTACTGTCTCTAAAGGGAAGATTTGAAAACTGCTTACCTACCTCAAGATAGAATTTTACAAGTATACCTTTCTTTTTACAGCTAGAAGATGGACACACTTTATTTGACTACAATGTTGGACTAAATGACATAGTTCAGCTTTTGATACGTTCTGAATCTGAAGCTCCTACTACTGCTTCTGTGACAGATCAGGATGGAGAAGTCAATCCTTGTGCTGTTTCCAACTGCAAGAACAAAGTCAAAAAAACAAATAGTGGATCATCCAGTCAGCCATCCACATCATCTCGATTGTTTCTCATTGATCCTGGTATTGGATTGTACAAGGTATGTACCAACTTTAAAAGCTGGAAACTTGCCTCATATTTATGGATTTAATTTTATTGTTAAAGTTTTGTTATGTAAAAGTGTGTAAAAATCTTTCATGATATAGCATAATTCCCCAATATAACATAAGTCAAGTTGACTTCTGCCCTGGTTCAACTGGGATAGGATTAAGTTTCCGCAGCAATGGGGAGAGGGCACTAGCCGGGTTATTCATACCATGCTGACATCAGGTCCATGCGCCAAGCGCGGGAAGGGTTTCCTTTGGGCTTTTGTCTGGGGAAGCACACACGGCGGGCTGGCTGTGTCCATTGCGGTATTTCTCTGTATAGCTTTTGTCTTATTTACTGTTATTACTGTTTATTATTGTTGTTATTGTTGTTTGTTACACTGTTCTATTAAATCTTTCCTTATTTCAACCCTGGGGTTTGTGCCTCACTTGCAGCCTGACAGGCTGAGGATGGGGGAGGGACAACAGCAACATGGTCTTTGGTCATGGCAGGTCCTAAACCAACACAACTTCATTTAAACTGACTCTTCAGAGTCATGAAAGGGTCTTTGTACCAAGCTCACTGCTGTTGCAGTTTTCAGGAGAGTTCATAAATTGATGCATTGTGTTCTCCAAAAAGTTTAGAATACCTGTGAAACAGGTAAACTTGTGAAGAGAAGCAGCTAATAAAAACTAAATTATCTGTAGAGAATGCAGTTTTCCCCCACTTAATTTTTCCAACCTTGACAAATATTTGGTTTGACTAGGGTTTCAGTGCTGTCTTAGAACTAGGTAAACTATGGAAATATACAATTTATTTAAATTGTGACATAATGATTGCCATTTTATTACTGGTTTTAGGAATCACATATATTTTATTTGTTAGCTTTGTACCGCCTTGAATTTTTAGATGTTATCATGTTGTATTACATTAGAGTCCTAGATTTAATTCAAACAGAAAACATACAGTTTCGAGGGCTAGCTCATGAGATACTTAGTGGAATACGTATACATAGGGAATGGTAACGTTTTACCTCCTCTTTGGGTGTTTCTCTTAAATAAGAAATATCCATAACAGTAATTCTTTTTGCTGGTAAATGTCCAAAATTACAGAGAAGGAGCTTGAGCTTCCATACATATACAAGTTGGTTTCAGTTAGAGGAGGGCTATTACTTAGATCTGTTATCCTGATGGGAAGCTGTCTTAGTTTAATGTAAACTGTTACTTAATGTTTTAGGTATTAAGGACAACTGGTAAGTTATTTACTTTACATTCCTGTAGCATTCTTTGCGGTGATCTCTGTTCATTCTCTGAGGAATCAGCGAGTCAAAAACTAAGTAGCTTGAATATGGAGGCACAAACTTGTGTGCTTCTTTTGTCTTTTATCTCCATTTATTAGTGGGGAAAAAACTCATTTCTTCAGTTCTGATGCTTTGCAGTTAATCAATGAGTGTAAAAGGTAAAATGAGATAGGATGGGGAGAATACTTTGGAGATGGAAAGCCACAGAATTATCAGTTAATCAAAGGAAAGGAGTATTAAAATACAGTTTTTAGAATTTTGAAAATATACATCAGGTAGTCTCTTAGCTATTTTGTTCAGCATTAAAGTAGAAAATAGAACAGGGAATGGTGATGTTGGCAGACATACTCAAGGAAACCTATTCTGTGTGTCAGGTGGAATTTTTGCAATCTCTCTAATACTAGGGACCTAACACTTAGCTACCTGTGAAATTACTACTTTTTCAGCCAGCCATATGTTTTTAATAAATATAGAAAAATAAGGGTGCAGTCATTGCTTTCTTTGCTATTTGTAGATGACAGTAGAAGTGTATAGAGGATTTTTACTTGCAGATTCAGGAAACTTTTAGGAATATATTTTTTGCCAGTAATGTAATTCAGAGGTAGTGAACTTGTTTAATAAAAAGTTTGTGTTAGATGACCAAATAGATGAATGTATCTCTTTTTTTTTTTTTTTTTTTTTTTTTTTTTTAGGAATTGCCTAGCTATAGGAAGGAATAATTTGTTACAGGACTTTCCTCAGACAGAAAAAATTGTGACTCACACGATCTGCACCCAGAGCTAGACTCTACAAGATACCAGTTACTCCAAACAGTCTCAGCTTCTATGCCCTCCTTTATCTTTCTGATTTCAACTACTAAAAAGAAAGGTAGCCAAAGTGGAACCTATAATTAAAAAAAGTGGTTAATAATAATTAAATTATTGTTCAATGGTTAAAATGGTGATTTAAACAGCGTTCCTCTTGTGTGTTCATTGTATATTATGTAAATCAGAATGCTTTAGCTTGTTTTATATTTCAGTTGTACCTGACATCTGACGTTTACATGGGCCCTGAAGGACTAGCAGTGGATGGATTTATGGTCAACTCCTGTTCCTTGCTACTAAGACTGAGAATTGTTAGTGGTGTTTGGTTTAAGAACTCAGGGGGTCCATCCCGAGATGGACTCAGCATGTGTGAAGGACACCAGGGTAAGCAGGGTACCTATGGCTGATCTTCAATGCCAAAATGAGGAATACAAGACAGGTTACAAGAGAAAAGTTACAGTAACACTGGTTGGACATGCAGGAATGATGTTAGAAAAATCAAAAGTGTTCACAGGCATGTGCATGTTTCCCCTTCTGATTCTCGCACAGTCTTTATAACTTTTCATCCAGAAATCTCTGGCTGTAGTAAAAACATTTTAGCTAAGAACTCTTAACTAACTTAGAATAAAAACCACACAAACTGAATCTGTAATTAAAATCAGTATTTGTTAATTACTGTTCACAAAGAACTACTAATAACCCAGTTTTTAAACCAGACACTATTAATGTAAAATAGTTGCTTGTTCCTTAGTGGTCTGTGGTAATGATTATTTGCCCTTACCATTGTAAGGGTGGGAAGTCCGTTGTGAAAACATGCACATAAAATTGTGGAAGGGTGCGTTGGAGAGGAATGATGAAGGGATTTTGCACTGATTTAAAAAAAAAAAAAAGTTTTGTTCTGGATCTGATTATGATTTTTGACTTGGCTAGCATGTCTGTGGCACTTGTCATAACTGGTCGCAAGAAGTAGCAAGTAGGTGGGGATAGCCTTAGTAGTGTGTGTCTAGCTGTATTTTTGAGAGTAGGAAGTAAAGAAGCACTTAGAGCTACAACTAATTAAAACATGTAAGATTGTGTAGGGATGCCTTTGTGAGGATTCTTTCTAGAAGTGCCAGAATGCACATAGATTGATAGATTTAAAATTAGACTGTCCTCCTCTGATTATTACATGACTGAAATTTTCATCCTGGTAAAAAACTGTACTTTGAATACTGTAGGTTGTAAGAATAAAAAATAAAAAAATAGATGTTGGTATTTTACATGGGAGGAATAATCAAGGATTGAGTTTTGGAGGTCATTTTAAGAAGGTGAATGAAAAGAGTAAATGAGAAGTATTGTTTTCTTGGGATAAACGTGTTAGCTCAGACTGCTGTCAGTTGCACTTTCAGATACCCAGGGGCTGCTTCACTCTACTAGAAGTTACTGAGTGTGTTTTTTCACTTGCTCCTATGAAAGTACTGTAAGATGGCTCAGTTTATAAAAACTAGAGTTTGGGGTTAGTAAGACTGTCTGCCTGCCACTATGTTGATACTTGACCAAAAACTGTAGCTTGAACTGTATACGTACATATGTGTGTGTATGTATCTCACTGTCTATTATAGTTGTTTTCTGTGGTGTGGCTATGCAGTAGTTATGTTGTTTTTCATACTTCATGTTGTGTTGAAGTGTTCTTTAAATTTTTTTTAAGTTTCTTAGTATTATTGAAGGAACATCTTCTTAATTAGCTGAAGACTTGAGAAAATTAAACATGACTTGGAATAACAAAGTAGTTTGATTGCTTAATACCAGTATTATTGTGATTACAGAAGGGAGGAAGTCAGTGAGATAGTTCCATTTCTTACAGTCATTAAGACTTTGGCTGACTGTGGTGGCAACCTTGTTAGACTTGTTTCTTCTCTCCTTGAGTCTTGAAGGGTTAAAAATTTGCAGGCCAGAAAGCTAGAAGGTTAAATAATAATTTTAAGTTGGAGGCTCAGGAAAGTCTTTAAAACCGTTGGCTGTGAGGTAGTATTTTAATGCTGTGTCAGCTTATTTTAACCATAAAGAACAACTGGCAAAGCAAGAGGAAAGGATAATGAGATTAAGCTAACTTTCAGGTTTGGAGGGGGAAAAAACCAAAAGAAATATAGCCTTGCTTTTTAAAACTGCGTAAGATTATAGTCATACTAGATTTTAATGAGGTAAGAGTAATATAATAATACAAGTGCAACACATTCACGACTACATGTTACTTGAAGTTGCTTAAACTCAACTAGTTACTCGGGTAGAATTGATTGTTTCACTGATAGCAAAGTTAAGCAGTAGCATAGTAAGTTGTCTTTATTGTTTTCTTAATTGGGATTTATAAAATACAGAATATAAAACCTGGGATTTATAAACACAAATTGATTATTATATTTATTTTTTTTAGATAAATGAATTGGTGGATGCCCGTGATGTCAGCATTGGAGCCTGGTTTGAAGCTCATATAGAAAATGTTACACGAGCAACAAAGGGACATAAGAATGGTAAAGCTCAAGGAAAGAGTGGTAACGCTTACAAAAGGACTAATGGAAACTTAAGTCAAGATCATTCTAGAGAAAATGCAAATAATTTGGACAGTACACCATCCACATCTTATTCAGACTGTATGGACACTGATGAAGAAGCTATTTATCATATCAAGTATGATGAGTAAGTGCTCCTGATACTATTTTGAGGACATCACATATTGTTATTTGGTTTGTATAAACCAAGAATTTCTTGAAGAAGCTTGGAATCAAAGAAAGCGAGTTCAATGTTGCAACCAAGAAAAAAAAAAAAAATTATTAAAGATTTAGAACACTTTTCAGTTCGATATAGTGAATCCATTTGAAGTAATGATATTTTTCATGCCTAAATACTTGTCCAGTATTTATTTCATTGTCTTTATGAAACTTAAAATCCATCCTTCTCATATAAGAAAAAAGAAACTATATAAAAATTTTTACTGTGTTTTTTTTCCAAGTAAAGTATTGTTTTAATTTTTTTTAACTATTCCCTGTGTATATTCAATTCCTATCATTGGAGCTGAATGAGAGAAAATACTGGTACTTGATTTGGATTAATTTTATTCCAAGTAGAACAATTGTGCATAAAATTGTAGGTCTGCACTTAGAGTAAAGGTTTGTTATAGAAAACTTTGTGATGCAGGGCATGAAATTGATTCTGAACTGCAGAGAGGGTGTTAAGGGTGGGTTGTGGGGTTCTTGTTTTGTTTTTTTTTTTTTTTCTGTAGTAAAGACAAATTCCAGAGCCTGCAATGTGTGGGTGGGAAACCCTGAGTTTGGAGGGATTCCTTATTTATGAACAGGTTTTACACCACTTCATTTGCTTGGGAAAGTGGTCCAGATGTGTGGGGGATTTTTTAATTTAACATCTGTAAAAGCATTACGTTTCTAAACAAATAAAACTTTAAATGATTTGAGGATTTGAAATTTTTGATACTGAGATTAGTGAAATTACTGTAGTTTGTGCAGTGTAAGATTAAGGTAGAAGGACGAAAAGTTTATTCAGTATTAACTAAATGTAGGTTTCCAAAATATTTTTAGAGCAGTTATTTCAGCTTTATTCGAATATGTAACTGTGAATCTGACTTATGTACAACACTTGTTGCACTTAGTAGTAACAGATACAACTTAATACACTTTTAAAATTGTGTTGAATTCTGATTCTTTAATCTGCAACTGTAAATTTTCTACTTAATGTTAGAGAATTACAGAAGTGAAAGTAGAAATGTAAATATTGCATTTAATGTTGCAAGAAATACATGAAAATAACTTAGTCAACCAGTATGATCAAAATGAAAATATTTTCTCTCGAAATTACATATCTATTGTGATGTGATTTCAAAGACCTGCCTTTAAGATTACCTAATTTTACAATACTGTGGATATATGCAGATTAACCATGGGCAAACATTTCTGAGAAAGTGTTTGTGACTGTTGCAGTGAAAGTTTGTTTTCTGCAGATACTGTATTTCATGAGTTAAAAGTACAGAAGCAGAAAATGTTTCACAACAGGTCTGATTTCTTTAGTATGATATGTCAAAGGAAAAAAAAGATTGACCTCTATGTGTACTTCAGGATATAGCTGTTCCCTTTCAGCAGATGGAGACAGTCTTTCTACTCTTACTATAAGATTATGTGTATCAGTTGTATATTCTTAGCCAACAAAATCAGATGAGCTACAGAAGCACAATATTGCAAGGTAGTCATTGAAGTAATTTAACTGATCAGTCTAAGGAAGTTTGAGCCTTTGGAAAGAAAAACTATTGGAAGGCTTTCTGGAAAGTGGGACTTGTACATTTATTGCTGATTGGGTTTTTGATGAATGTTACGGAAATCTTTGAAGGTCTTTCTTTTTTATTTTAGTGTTACCTGACGTGCATATTCATGTGGTAGCTATGTGTGCACTCATACCATTTTGTTTTCCTATATTAGTGTTTACCTCTTTGGTGTACATAGACCATTCATGTATACCATCACCTATGTGATGTGCATGAATAGGGAGATCATGAAATATTGTGCTTTGCCACACTCCTTCTCTGCTCCAGAAATTACTTAATCTAATTTATCTCTCTGCTTCTGTTCTTTGAGGTTCATATCTTACTTCTACCACTATCTTCTGCAAAGTTACCTGTTGCGGGGTGTTTTGCTCTTTAGGTTCAGACTGCATTTTTCTGCAAGATGTACTTGGATGTTCTGTTGTCTGTCTGTGAATTGTTGTTTTGGAGAAGTTCTTTTTCTCTTTTTATATTCTAAAGATGATTCTTTTGGGTGGCATAATTTCAGCTCTGGCTTGCCTACAACAATTCTTACAAGACATGAAAACATGTGCTGTTATCTGAAATAGAATAAAAATGGCTTAAAAATGAATGACATAAGCCTGGCACCCATAACGCCATCCAAATTACTTGAATACATTGGAAGGACTATGTCAGAGCTGCTCAAATTGTCACTGATTCTCAGTTTCCAGCCTGGTTCTCCCTCTCCACCTGTTATATCTTTCCAGTCTGAAAAAAAAGCAGCAAAAAAGAAAGGGGTAAGTCACCTGTAGTGCATTGAATTGGTCTACTTCAGCCCCTTTACTCTGATTCATTGTGATGAATAGTAGATATACTGACCCCCCACCCCCCCAAAAAAAAAAAAAAAGTTGTTGTTGTCCTCGTCTTGATGTCTGGAAGCAGTAATGCTAATAGCGATTACGTAGGAGGTACTGGAAGTCTGAAACCAAATCTCAGTACCAGGTCATCCATCACCATGGGTCCATTTCTTGCAACAAAGTCCTCTAGGTCAGGCCTCTCTCACCTCACTGTCTCCAAAACACACAGATCAATATCTCGACTCAGATGAAGGCCTGAAATTGTCTCTTTTCTTAGCTCTCCCATGGGTATTCACACTGTATTCATATATTCAGGACTGAGGTACATGTTGTTCAACACCATCTATCTCAGAACAGTGTAGCTGGGAATTTTATCTAAAAATGAAGATTCACCTCTGTAATTTTCTTTTAAACTGCTCCTCAGGAATGTTCACCTTAAGCCTTCATTGCCTTACAAATTTATTCTGGAGTACACTTCTCTCTACTTTGAAGTGTTTAGGGGGTGGTAAGAAAATCTGTCAAAGAGCATGAAGAATTGAGTTTTCATCCATGATGTGTCCAGATATTGTGGTGTGTACACTGTCCCTCTATCAGTTTCAGTGAGAATAATGCTCCCCTAGGCAGTGGTTCTATGTAGTCCTGTAACTCTGCATCAAGGAGGATGTGTCTGCACTGGCCTGCTTGTATGTTCCACACCTGATTTTTTTGAAAGTAATTAGTACAGCACTGATGGATCTGATGTTCACCTGGTGTTGGTTTTATAGCTGGAAACATTTGACAGTCCCATCAAGCAAACAATCCAATGAGTTGTTATTTTCAACAAGGCAATTTAGGTCACTGTTCTCCTAAGAACAGCTGTTCTTGAAGAGTGAAACAGGACTTGTGCTTTGGTTAAATTTGAAAGCTGGTTTTAGCAGTGGTCCTGCTAGTTTTAGATATCACTGTTGTGCAAGACCTAAACACCAAATCTAAAACTGCAAAACAGTGTAAACCCCACTTTCTTCTAATCCTTTGTTTCATAAGACTGTATCTCTGAGGGCCTGAGTTTTCATTTGTTCCTTTCTTATTTCCATTTCTTGTTTAAATAGTGTAGTTACAGTGAATGTGAACAGGAAAAAATACGGCAGAGCTCTTCTAGCAGAGAGTACAGTTAAGAGAAAAATTAATCTTTCTGGTCAAGAGCTTAGAGTAATTTCAAAGGGGTAACTACCTTAGGGCTAAGCAGAGCTCTCCTGCCAGTTGTGACCTGCTACAGACAGGAGATACTACATATCCCTCCTTGATTTTGTAGGGAACAGAAGAGCTGAGTTGTTTCTGTTGTGGTTTCCCCTCTCTCTTCCCCCCTGCCCCCCGAGGCTGTATGCATAGCATTTAATTAAATTGCAACAGTTGTAAGGCTGACATATTTCTGCAGAGCGATGGTTCTGCTTAGAGAAAACCTCGTGCCATTTGGAGGAACAGAACTTCTTAGTTACAGATTAAACTGGAGTCACAGTTCTTAAACTCAAAAATTCAAAAGGTTTGTGGTGCTAAAGAGCCCTGTATTTATCAGTGAGGGAGAGACCAAAGTATCAGTTTTATCGGTGCTCACCTTCAAGTCAGTACCAACTCTCTTGGCAGCCCGTTGTGGCTATATAGCTTTTGCCTGACAGTCCATCTTCTGCATTTAGTTTTGGAATGCAGCCTTTTCCCTGGAGGCAGCGTTGTTTACAGTGTGTTCCTATCTCTACCAGTGTTGTCTTCCTTCCCTTTTGCCACTTTATTCACTGTCTTTTGGTTTCACCTTTGCATTTGTTGGTATCACAAAGAGCTATTAAAGACTTTAAAGTTAAGGGTGTGCTCTCAGGTTTCATATGCTGCTATCATGTATTTCTTCTGCTCTGAGCAACTGTCTTTTAATACAGAAGTTATGAACCTGTCTTGAACAGAAGAAAGCTGCATCCTTATTTGAAAGGACTCCTGAGGAATCAAACATGCTTAGATCCTAAAGCTGAGATAACTAGGTAGAGTCTGCACCACAGCTTGCTTAAGAATCGCCTCTGAATCAGAAGCAGGACGCTTCAATACCTTATGTGACACCATAGAGTCATAGTTTGCAGTGCTGTATCCTAAGAAAGTTTGTCCTTTCTTCCTAACTTACTGTATTTCATATTTGTTGCTTGTGCAGCACTGGATGTAGTCTACTAAGTTACAGGGAGAGAGTTCTCTCACTCTCTGGATGTTAGCTTCTTGATGGTTAGCTCTTCCCTGGAGTAGTAGACTCACTGATTTACAAATAAATGCTGTATTTTCCTTCCTTTTCCAGTTTTTGTCATTTGTAATGAAAGCCTGTTTAAGAAGTCTCTCAGTGGTGGTTGCAGGAAGGCTGGATGCTTCAGTAGGCTGAGAAATGTCAGTATGCATACCTGTATGCAAGTGTAGATTTAGTATGGCTCAAGTGTAGGTAACTTTTAGGGCCATTCTGTTTCTCTAATGATACACTGTCAGGGGAGGCAGCGGGTCTGCTGAAAGCCTGGCAGAGCAGATTGAATTTAACCTCAGCCAGATCATCC